TAAGAACCCATCAGCAGGTTCTCCAACCTTTCCTCTCCAGCGCTGACTGGATCTCCTTCACGTCTCTGGCTGGGTGGAAGCTGGGAAAGGCTCGAACGGTACCGAGAGTTCCCCACCACATGTTCTGAAGAAGACACAGGAACAGGAGGCCACGAGATTATTCTCCAGCAGATGAAGCTTAATGATCCAGAAGGTCCCAGAAGAAATCTGCTGTTGGTACGCTTCACTGCACGTGTGTGTGTGTGTGTTTGTGTTTTACTCACAGTAGCGCTGAGGCTGTCCATTCTGATTCCTCTGAAACTACTTAAGACAAAGAGAAATCAGTCTTCAGGTGGACAGGTAGGGACATCAGTCCAGCATCCTCTCAGATGGACTCCAGGACACGAGCAGACTAAAACCGGTCCCATTAGATCCAACAAGACCTTCAGACAGAAGTTTCTTACCTGAAACGTGTCGGAGTGTCTCACAGGCTCCTGGTGTCAGTCTGGGATCACACAGAGACACACCTGCTCCAGGTACGCCCACCTAGTGTCAGACCCACTCCTGACCAATCAGGGCTCAGCCTCCTTGCAGCTTTGTCAGCTCATTGGTCAGCACAAGGACACAACAACTAGCGTGAAATCCCAACCTTCCGGGAGAATCGGGAGTCCTGGTTGGGTTTGTTCCGCTGTGAAACGTGACTCCGAGCTCAAACATTCACGAGGGAGGTGACCGAAGCCGTAGAAGAAGTCCAGATCGCGATGATCTGACTAGAAAAGCTGTCAGCCATCGTGCTGATCATAGCCGAGCAGGTGAAGCGCAGGTTGTGGTTTCAGACATCACATCTGGAGACATCTGGATTCTGGATCATGTTTGAATTTGACCGACGTCCTGTTTTCCTCCAGCAGCTCAACAAGCTTCCTGCGGTTCACCTGAGCAGCAGAGAAACCCGACACCTGTGTGGTTACTGAAAACACGGCCAAACCAAAGTCCACCTGAACGCCGAGAATAACCCATAAACATGAGGTTGTTCTGGGGATTCCATTTATTTCTGTTGAGCCAAAGGTCACGAGGTCATCTGATAAGCAGCTGGGTCTCCAGCAGAGATCTACAGGTCGCGTCTATCAGTAAGCCATTTCTACGTTAAATGGTCCCGCGTGCAGAAGCAGGGCAGCTAATGACCCTGGGCAACTAGAGGTCACCAGAGGTCAAACAGTAGTGAGACAGTGAAGGGGGGGGGTACTGTCATACCCTCCCTCAGGTGAAAACATGAGCATCGTCAGCGCCGAGGAATGAAAAGTTAAGTGAAAGAAAAGGAAGAGAAACCAGAACCGGCTCTTGGAGGGTGCAGACGCTTTTTTCCTCCTCCCCTCCGTATCTCATCCTCAAGGCCCTTGTCCGTCCGTCTCTGGGTGCTGGTGCACGGCTGCTTCTGCTTTTTTCTGCAAACTGGAAACTGAAATTCACTGAAATGGATCTCATCAGCTGGTCTCTCAACACGGTTGATAACATTTTTTCATCGATGAGAACGGGAGAAGGGGCTCCCGGATGCCCCGCTGGGACAGACCCAGTTGGACACATCATGGACTCCTGGAACTTGATTTGTTTATCTCAGCTGTCTGTGGAGGACTCTGAAGACGTGTGGATATTCGTGGTGTTGGTGTCAGGTTTCCTGCTGATCGGCATTGGACGCTACCTGGCTTACCGGAAAATTAACGAGCTGTTGAGGAATATTGGCCTGATCCCGGAGCTCAGAGATGGTTTGCACCACGCTGTGAATTCACAGACTCCCATAATTGTTCAGATGAATCGTAAGCTTGGAACTTTGGCGGAGATTCATTCACTGGCACAAAAGATGGATGCCATCAAGGAGAGAGTGGTCGAATCAGCACGGATCGGGATAGATTAACGTCCATTATTGGGATTTTGAGAGGTTGAGGACCAGCAGACTGTAAAACAGAGAGGAAATTATCTCTGTCTGGCCCCAAAACAATTTCTAATCGGAATCTGGCGCCCTTGAGCCTGCAAGGTTCCAACGAAAACTCCCACCTCAGAAGATATGTGGAATGTGCCGTCGCTATGGCAACTCAACTGTCTCCTATCCCAGCCTGAGTGGGAAGGCCGCTGAAACGTTCCAGGGTCACTGCAACCCTCCAACCCTCAATGCTCCCCCCCCCCATCCGCATGGAGGTGAAATGCGCTGCTTATCGTGGCTGCAGGAACTGAAGTGAGGAGAGTCCCAACCCACCATCCCACCTAGTGGACACTTATGTTGTGTGATGTCTGAAGTCTGTTGCATTTCTGTCTGAGGTGTTGTTTTGCAGAGCAAAGCTGCCCTCCTGGTGGGGGGAAACTCTGAAGTGCCTTTTTTTCCCTCCACCTGAACCAATCCTCATGTAACCCTCTGATCTCTATTAAGGTAGCGCGACTCGGGTTGCGAATGACCACAGTCACCAATTCTTGTCATGTGTCTTGCCCACGTATGTCTGATCTCTGAATTGTGTGTACTGAAACTCTAATTTCCCTCTGGGATTAATAAAGTATCTTTGATTTGATTTGAACTTGGAGGATTTGGTGATTCGTGTCTCCGAGTTCAGACGGAGCCGATCTGAACCTCCAGCTGTGGTGTGACCGGCTGGTTTAGATCAACAAGACAAAGACATTTAAATAAAGTTTACATTTTATTTATAGATTTCTGCAGGAATTTACCAAATCAGTGAAAAACAATAAAAAGATGAAGATTTTAATTGTAAAAGAATTCTACAGATATTCTTATTTTCATTATCTGGATTTCAAAAGCTTCTGTTGTGGATTCAAGCCACGATTCAAAATGAGCAAACGGCTGTAGCAATGAGGTCTCCGTAGAAACGTTACTACAGGGAGAGACCTGCTGTCGTCAGATGTGACCCGGTGTGACCAGATGTGACCCGGTGTGACCTGGTTTACACATCAGCAACGTTTCCACAGAACATAGACAAACAATAAAAGACTGGAAACACTTTGAGATCCTGTTCTCAGGCAGAACATTCACAGAAACCAGACGATGGCGGGGAACCGCAGCGATTACCGATGCAGACATCAGTTCAACCTCTGGTCTTCCTGCAGCAGGTCAGGAAGACCAGAGTCTTTGAGCTCCACAGCATCTTGCCTCCAGAAGCGCATTTGTTTCAGGATGTCCAGAGAAACGTTATGGTCCTGGCTCTTCAGACCTCCACCATCGCAGATGGCTACAACAGCTCGACCTCCCACTGCTGACTTGGGCTGTCCTCACTCTCCGGCCTCACCACCACGTGCTCCTTGTCGTAAGATCTGCCGCCTGAACAAACACGATCAGGCGTTACTGTGTGACTCCTACAACCCGAGTTCAACTCAGGCTGGCTGTTGTGTGACCTCTTGTTGACCCTGTTGAACAACGAGCCTGCAGCTGAGACCTTGGGCCCGGTTCTCGTTAACAGAACACTGACCGACTCACACATGTGAGCAGCTGGGTACAAATGTGGGTGTTGTTATTTACATGTTTACTCACTTGTAGTCAACCTTTGTAAACGTATACACCTGTACCCACATGGTATGACCCACAGGAGATGTTTTAAAGTGTGTTAAAGGTCAAGCTTGATATTCAGGAAGCTGAGCTGAGCAGGGCAGGACATACAGGGGAATGTTAGGAGTGAACGGAATGATGAATGTATGAAAAATGTATGCTGATTGGAGCTTTGGGTGAAGACTTTGAAGCTTCCGGAAATTTTAGGTATAAAAGCAATGACGGGACAAAAATGACAGAGGGGTTCTGGCTTAGATGAGAGCCCATAGAGGGGTTCTGGCTTAGATGAGAGCCCATAGAGGGGTTCTGGCTTAGCCGAGAGCCCATAGAGGGGTTCTGGCTTAGATGAGAGCCCATAGAGGGGTTCTGGCTTAGCCGAGAGCCCATAGAGGGGTTCTGGCTTAGCCGAGAGCCCATAGAGGGGTTCTGGCTTAGATGAGAGCCCATAGAGGGGTTCTGGCTTAGATGAGAGCCCATAGAGGGGTTCTGGCTTAGCCGAGAGCCCATAGAGGGGTTCTGGCTTAGATGAGAGCCCATAGAGGGGTTCTGGCTTAGCCGAGAGCCCATAGAGGGGTTCTGGCTTAGATGAGAGCCCATAGAGGGGTTCTGGCTTAGCCGAGAGCCCATAGAGGGGTTCTGGCTTAGCCGAGAGCCCATAGAGGGGTTCTGGCTTAGCCGAGAGCCCATAGAGGGGTTCTGGCTTAGATGAGAGCCCATAGAGGGGTTCTGGCTTAGATGAGAGCCCATAGAGGGGTTCTGGCTTAGCCGAGAGCCCATAGAGGGGTTCTGGCTTAGATGAGAGCCCATAGAGGGGTTCTGGCTTAGCCGAGAGCCCATAGAGGGGTTCTGGCTTAGCCGAGAGCCCATAGAGGGGTTCTGGCTTAGCCGAGAGCCCATAGAGGGGTTCTGGCTTAGATGAGAGCCCATAGAGGGGTTCTGGCTTAGATGAGAGCCCATAGAGGGGTTCTGGCTTAGCCGAGAGCCCATAGAGGGGTTCTGGCTTAGCCGAGAGCCCATAGAGGGGTTCTGGCTTAGCCGAGAGCCCATAGAGGGGTTCTGGCTTAGCCGAGAGCCCCTAGAGGGGTTCTGGCTTAGCCGAGAGCCCATAGAGGGGTTCTGGCTTAGCCGAGAGCCCATAGAGGGGTTCTGGCTTAGCCGAGAGCCCATAGAGGGGTTCTGGCTTAGCCGAGAGCCCATAGAGGGGTTCTGGCTTAGCCGAGAGCCCATAGAGGGGTTCTGGCTTAGATGAGAGCCCATAGAGGGGTTCTGGCTTAGCCGAGAGCCCATAGAGGGGTTCTGGCTTAGCCGAGAGCCCATAGAGGGGTTCTGGCTTAGATGAGAGCCCATAGAGGGGTTCTGGCTTAGCCGAGAGCCCATAGAGGGGTTCTGGCTTAGCCGAGAGCCCATAGAGGGGTTCTGGCTTAGCCGAGAGCCCATAGAGGGGTTCTGGCTTAGATGAGAGCCCATAGAGGGGTTCTGGCTTAGATGAGAGCCCATAGAGGGGTTCTGGCTTAGATGAGAGCCCATAGAGGGGTTCTGGCTTAGATGAGAGCCCATAGAGGGGTTCTGGCTTAGATGAGAGCCCATAGAGGGGTTCTGGCTTAGATGAGAGCCCATAGAGGGGTTCTGGCTTAGCCGAGAGCCCATAGAGGGGTTCTGGCTTAGCCGAGAGCCTATAGAGGGGTTCTGGCTTAGCCGAGAGCCCATAGAGGGGTTGTGGCTTAGATGAGAGCCCATAGAGGGGTTCTGGCTTAGCCGAGAGCCCATAGAGGGGTTCTGGCTTAGATGAGAGTCCATAGAGGGGTTCTGGCTTAGATGAGAGCCCATAGAGGGGTTCTGGCTTAGCCGAGAGCCCATAGAGGGGTTCTGGCTTAGATGAGAGCCCATAGAGGGGTTCTGGCTTAGCCGAGAGCCCATAGAGGGGTTCTGGCTTAGCCGAGAGCCCATAGAGGGGTTCTGGCTTAGATGAGAGCCCATAGAGGGGTTCTGGCTTAGATGAGAGCCCATAGAGGGGTTCTGGCTTAGATGAGAGCCCATAGAGGGGTTCTGGCTTAGATGAGAGCCCATAGAGGGGTTCTGGCTTAGATGAGAGCCCATAGAGGGGTTCTGGCTTAGCCGAGAGCCCATAGAGGGGTTCTGGCTTAGATGAGAGTCCATAGAGGGGTTCTGGCTTAGATGAGAGCCCATAGAGGGGTTCTGGCTTAGCCGAGAGCCCATAGAGGGGTTCTGGCTTAGATGAGAGCCCATAGAGGGGTTCTGGCTTAGCCGAGAGCCCATAGAGGGGTTCTGGCTTAGCCGAGAGCCCATAGAGGGGTTCTGGCTTAGCCGAGAGCCCATAGAGGGGTTCTGGCTTAGATGAGAGCCCATAGAGGGGTTCTGGCTTAGATGAGAGCCCATAGAGGGGTTCTGGCTTAGATGAGAGCCCATAGAGGGGTTCTGGCTTAGATGAGAGCCCATAGAGGGGTTCTGGCTTAGCCGAGAGCCCATAGAGGGGTTCTGGCTTAGATGAGAGCCCATAGAGGGGTTCTGGCTTAGATGAGAGCCCATAGAGGGGTTCTGGCTTAGCCGAGAGCCCATAGAGGGGTTCTGGCTTAGATGAGAGTCCATAGAGCAGGATGGAGACAGGAGATGGGAGAAGGCTGCTGGAGGACAGGTACTGATGTGTTGTGAGGTAAACACGGTGTGTGAAGGCGCCACTAAACGATCTCAGGATGACGGGTCTTCTGCCCTGTTAGAATAGGACATTAGGGGCATGTATGCATGGTTGACCATGCCCAGTCACTCTTAAGAGGCGTCCTCCTTTAGTGGGAGCAGAGGAGCGATCACTCAGCATTCGAGTTAGCTGGGCTTCTGGATAAGATCGTTGAGGAGAAGGGAAAGAAAAACATTCCTCTTGAAGCGTTCCCGGCGTTCCATCTAAAGACGGTTTAGATCTTGATTTTACCCTCGTTGGTCATCAGGGTTTATATTCTAGCCTTGAGGTTTTACTTTAAAGGTCTGACCACAGTTAAAGCCGTTTACATTTTATTATCTACACCAAAACAGTTATGGGGTAAGGGTTAGGGTTTTCTATATTTGAACCCAAAAGGAGAAACATGGTCTCTGGTGCTTTATTTCTCACCCATTTCATTTACTCGACCGACTGATGGGAACTTTCTCATGAGGAGTCTCCGTCTAGGAGAACCAGAAGAGCCCTGACGAGCTACGAGTGAAGGCAGCACTGCCTGAAGCTGGTGTGGCCTCCGTCTGCAGGCCTTCATCAGGAGCCCAGCTTACCCTCGGGCCACCTACAAGCAGGGTCCAGGACCACGATAGCGTGGAGAAGACTTCTCTTTGGCCACCCTAAGCCTGGGCTCACTGTTATGTATATGAAGTCTGGCATCGATTCTCACGCAGCTGAAGCTTGGCTTGGTTCATTTATTAGTCCAGGGGTTGGGTCACATGCATTAAATGCGATGTGCCGGTCGCTGCTCTGGCCTTCCATTTGAAAGAGCATCTGATGGTCGATAAATAAGTAAATAAACAGAAAAACAATCTAAGGCGTGGTTAAACCATCTCTGCTGCTCGGTGGCGTCTACCTGCTGCTGTTGGTGATCTCTCTCTCTCCTCTGTTAGAGAAGCGTCGCGTGACTTGGACCTAACAGGTGTTTACAGACAGGACTTTACTGGACTTCCTGTCAGATGAAGATGTTAAAGAGATGTGAGTCCGGTTTACACGCTGAAGCCGGGCAGTTCATTTAATGCTGGCGTTACCACGGTTACCGCCTAACCCTAACCGTTTCTACCTGACCCTGACCCCGACCTGCCCGTTTCTGGATATGAACGACACAAGGATGCTGACGAACCAGAACACCCTGATCCAGTCTGAGGTTTGCTTTGGCTAAATCAGACAACCTGTAGAGAAAGGGTTCTTCTCACACCTTTAACATCCAGAACCATCCCGGGGAACGTCAGGCTGCTGCAGGGCCCTTTCATCTCGGCTGACCAGGTCTGGATCGGCTGCCGGGTCTCGCTCCATAGAACCACCTTGGCCGCTGGCTCCACATTCCCCATGACTTGGAGGCACATGGTAGGAGCCATCTGCAGGACCAACCAGAACCTTAAACATGTCCTTGTTGCTTCTGACGATTCTAGGTCCACTTCTGATCGGTGGCATGAGACCGGTCTCAAATGTTCACTTATAATGTGGGAGGACGAGAACCACTGGAGATGAACCAGTGAGTCCTCCATAGATGTCAGTGGGACAAAGCCAAACCAGTCCTTACACATGCACGCACCTACACTCCATACACACGCATCAGATACTGAAGAACTGATCAAACGGGTCAGAACTTTACAGAAAGAGTCGGATTCAGTGAACTAATGATCAGATTTAAATACGAACCCATAAAACATCATTTATTCTTTCATCCTTTTGTTAGAATTGAATGGTTTCTTTTTGTCTTTCTGTACTTTTAAATGTAAATTCTGCTTTTCGTAGCAAAGAAGAACTTCTGGATGTTTTGGGTAAAAGGGGAAACGAGCGGTGGTGGGCCGCACCGCCGTGGCCGAGTGAACATCTGAGCGACCAGCGCAGCATCAGTACCTTGTTTTTAATCAGCCCGTCCTGGTAGAACCAGACGTCGCTCGACGGATCCACCTCCTGCGACACCACCACCCGACCAGACTTCATCTCTTCTACTCCGCCCTGAACCGACAGGAAGTGGCCGCTCTCTCCGTTCTTCACTCGGAAAAAGCGTCGCTTCTGCAGGAAGAGAGGCGGGACCTCGTTGTACTGCAGGTTCTGATGTGACGTTCACTAACCAGACGACTCGTTAACGGACCTGTCTGACCGGGAACATGGAGCCGACCGTTTGCAGCGAGCTGAACTTGGGCCAGTTGGTGATCTCAATGGGTTCGAGGAAGAACTGGCGCCCCCTGTATTTACTGTGTTCACACAACACCCAGCTACACAGAGACACAAGTTAGAGGAGAAATCACACACACACGCACACGCACACGCACACGCGCACACGCACACACGCACACACCTGCTGCTGTTGACCCTGACTGACAGGATGTGGTTGCTGAAGCCCTCCCGCACCAGACTGACCACCTCCGTGTCCACGGTGATCTCTCGGCCCTCCAGGCCCTCAAGTCCAAACAAAGAGATGGAGGGAACCGACAATGTCTGCACACACACACACACACACACACACACACACACACACACAGATGTTCACAACAAAACAATCACACACAGACAACAAAACCCAGAGCTTTAGGATACCCGTTACCATGGGAACCAGTTTGATGGAGCGGATGGAGCAGCTGGAGGAGCAGCCCATACTGGCTAAACTGGGGTAGTCGTCTTCAGACAGCACGTACGTGTCTCCAGAGAACTGAGTGTTCTCGTACAGAACCCAGCTGGAACACAGAACAGAATGGTCACATCCGCTCATCCTCCTCCTGGTCTCAGGAGCTTCTGGTTGCTCTGCCCACCTTCCTGCCACCACTCGACAAGACCTGGTGGTGAATGTGTCCGGGAGCGCCCCCTGGTGGTGGTGGAAGCGGAGGCTTTCACCCTTAAAGTCCGGCTCAGAGTACAGGATGATCTGATGGAGACGGAGCATTTTGGTCAGAAGTTTCAAAAGGTTAACCCTCAGGTAGAGTTCCTCGTGTGTGTGTGTGTGTGTGTGGTGTGTGTGTGTGTGTGTGTGTGTGTGTGTGTGTGTGTGTGGTGTGTGTGTGTGTGTGTGTGTGTGTGTGTGTGTGTGTGTGTGTGTGTGTGTGTGTGTGTGTGTGTGTGTGATGACAACAGCACAGCTGAGAGCTTTAGGGTTTGTCTGAGGTTCTGATCTGGAATCAGGACTCACCTGGTCTCTGGAGCTAACACCTTCTGTTGGAGCCTGAAACACAACAACACGTGACTGAGACCTGCTGACCTCTCACTCATCCTTTCTGGGGATCTGATTGGTTCTCACCAGTAAGATGGGCTGGACCGAGCAGACACGCGTGTCCTTGGAGCCCCAGTCGGCACAGTTGTTGTAGAAGCCCTTCTCCAGGATATACTGGTTCCCAGAGTAGTCCACATGAGAGTAAGCTATCCACCTTTTGGGGGGAGAGGAGGAGGCGTTACCTGAAGATGTGACACACCTGAACCTTCGTTAGAAAAGCAGCAGAGATACGTACGCCCCGCTAAGCACATGGATGGAGCGCGTGGATGCTTTATAGTTAAACAGCTCCACATCTGGAATGGCCTCCGTCACCTCAAAGGTATTTTCCTCCGTCACGCCCTCCTCTTCCTCAGGCTGCTCGAACATCACCATCAGAGGGTCAGTCAGATCCTGCAAATGAGCAGCAAGGAGGTCCGACTCATCAGCTCAGCTCCAACTATTCTCCCTGGATCAGATCAGGAGGACCTTTAAACTGACTTACTGCCTGGATGATCCTGACAGAGCGCAGCTCAGAGTCACGGCCCCCCCACACCCTCCAGTCGTGGTACTCCCCCTCCTCCAGCAGGTACTGGTTGCCACGGAAACCTTCCTTCTCACATCCCACCCAGCTAAAGCAGCAGATCGAGAGTGTGCATGTTTATTCATTTACTAACATGTTAACCTGACAGCCATGATGTTGGTCTGTGAGAGAAACACATGCATGAGGAGAACACGCTAACTCCACACGTGGAGAACACGCCAACTCCACACATGCATGAGGAGGACACGCTAAGTCCACACATGCATGAGTAGAACACGCTAACTCCACACATGGAGAACATGCTAACTCCACACGTGCATGGGGAGAACATGCTAACTCCACACATGCATGAGGAGAACATGCTAACTCCACACATGCAGGAGGAGAACATGCTAACTCCACACATGCATGAGTAGAACACGCTAACTCCACACATGGAGAACATGCTAACTCCACACGTGCATGGGGAGAACATGCTAACTCCACACATGCATGAGGAGAACACGCTAACTCCACACATGCATGAGGAGAACACGTTAACTCCACACATGCATGAGGAGAACACGTTAACTCCACACATGCATGAGGAGAACACGTTAACTCCATACATGCATGAGGAGAACACGTTAACTCCACACATGCATGAGGAGAACACGTTAACTCCACACATGCATGAGGAGAACACGCTAACTCCACACGTGCATGAGGAGAACACGCTAACTTCACACATGCATGAGGAGAACATAGTAACTCCACATATGCATAAGTAGAACACGCTAACTCCACACATGGAGAACATGCTAACTCCACACGTGCATGGGGAGAACATGCTAACTCCATACATGCATGAGGAGAACACGTTAACTCCACACATGCATGAGGAGAACACGTTAACTCCACACATGCATGAGGAGAACACGTTAACTCCACACATGCATGAGGAGAACACGTTAACTCCACACATGCATGAGGAGAACACGTTAACTCCACACATGCATGAGGAGAACACGTTAACTCCACACATGCATGAGGAGAACACGTTAACTCCACACATGCATGAGGAGAACACGCCAACTCCACACATGCATGAGGAGAACACGTTAACTCCACACATGCATGAGGAGAACACGCTAACTTCACACGTGCATGAGAAGAACACGTTAACTCCACACATGCAGGAGGAGAACATGCTAACTCCACACATGCATGACGAGAATAAGTTAACTCCACACATGCATGAGGAGAACACGCTAACTTCACACGTGCATGAGGAGAACACGTTAACTCCACACATGCAGGAGGAGAACATGCTAACTCCACACATGCAGGAGGAGAACATGCTAACTCCACACATGCATGAGGAGAACATGCTAACTCCACACATCTATGAGGAGAACATGCTAACTCCACACATGTATGAGGAGAACATGCTAACTCCACACATGTATGAGGAGAACATGCTAACTCCACACATGTATGAGGAGAACATGCTAACTCCACACATGCATGAGGAGAACATGCTAACTCCACACATGCATAAGGAGAACATGCTAACTCCACACATGCATGAGGAGAACATGCTAATTTCATACATGCATGAGGAGAACACGCTAACTCCACACATGCATGAGGAGAACATGGAGAACAAGCTAACTCCACACATGGATGAGAACATGCTAACTCCACACATGCATGAGGAAAACATGCTAACTCCACACATGCATGAGGAGAACACGCTTACTCCACACATGCATGAGGAGAACATGCTAACTCCACACATGCATGAGGAGAACATGATAACACCACACATGCATGAGGAGAACATGGTAACTCCACACATGCATGAGGAGAACACGCTAACTCCACACATGCATGAGGAGAACATGCTAACTCCACACATACATGAGGAGAACATGCTAAATCCACACATGTATGAGGAGAACATGCTAACTCCACATATGCATGAGGAGAACATGCTAACTCCACATATGCATGAGGAGAACATGCTAACTCCACATATGCATGAGGAGAACATGCTAACTCCACACATGTATGGGGAGAACATGCTAACTCCACACATGCATGAGGAGAACATGCTAACTCCACACATGCATGAGGAGAACACGCTAACTCCACACATGCATGAGGAGAACATGCTAACTCCACACATGCATGAGGAGAACATGCTAACTCCACACATGCATGAGGAGAACATGCTAACTCCACACATGTATGAGGAGAACACGCTAACTCCACACATGTATGAGGAGAACACGCTAACTCCACACATGTATGAGGAGAACACGCTAACTCCACACATGCCTGAGGAGAACACGCTAACTCCACACATGCATGAGGAGAACACGATAACTCCACACATGTATGAGGAGAACACGCTAACTCCACACATGTAAGAGGAGAACATGCTAACTCCACACATGTATGAGGAGAACACGCTAACTCCACACATGCATGAGGAGAACACGCTAACTCCACACATGTATGAGGAGAACATGCTAACTCCACACATGTATGAGGAGAACATGCTAACTCCACACATGTATGAGGAGAACACGCTAACTCCACACATGTATAAGGAGAACACGCTAACTCCAAACATGCATGAGGAGAACACGCCAACTCCACACATGCATGAGGAGAACACACTAACTCCACACGTGCATGAGGAGAACACGCTAACTCCACACATGTATGGGGAGAACACGCTAACTCTACACATGCATGAGGACAACATGCTAACTCTACACATGTATGGGGAGAACACGCTAAATCCACACATGCATGAGGAGAACATGCTAACTCCACACATGCTTGAGGAGAACATGGAGAACATGCTAACTCCACACATGCATGAGAACATGCTAACTCCACACATGTATGAGGAGAACACGCTAACTCCACACATGCATGAGGAGAACACGCTAACTCCACACATGCATGAGGACAACATGCTAACTCTACACATGTATGGGGAGAACACGCTAACTCCACACATGTATGAGGAGAACACGCTAACTCCACACATGCATGAGGAGAACACGCTAACTCCACACATGTATGAGGAGAACACGCTAACTTCACACATGTATGAGGAGAACATGCTAACTCCATACATGTATGAGGAGAACATGCTAACTCCACACATGCATGAGGACAACACGCTAACTCCACACATGCATGAGGAGAACACGCTAACTCCACACATGTATGAGGAGAACACGCTAACTCCACACATGTATGAGGAGAACATGCTAACTCCACACATGTATGAGGAGAACATGCTAACTCCACACATGCATGAGGACAACATGCTAACTCTACACATGTATGAGGAGAACATGCTAACTCCACACATGTATGGGGAGAACACGCTAACTCTACACATGTATGGGGAGAACACGCTAACTCTACACATGTATGGAGAGAACACGCTAACTCCACACATGTATGAGGAGAACATGCTAACTCCACACATGCATGAGGACCACATGCTAACTCTACACATGTATGGGGAGAACATGCTAACTCTACACATGTATGGGGAGAACACGCTAACTCCACACATGCATGAGGACAACATGCTAACTCTACACATGTATGGGGAGAACACGCTAACTCTACACATGTATGGAGAGAACACGCTAACTCCACACATGTATGAGGAGAACATGCTAACTCCACACATGCATGAGGACAACATGCTAACTCTACACATGTATGGGGAGAACATGCTAACTCTACACATGTATGGGGAGAACACGCTAACTCTACACATGTATGGGGAGAACACGCTAACTCCACACATGTATGAGGAGAACATGCTAACTCCACACATGCATGAGGACAACATGCTAACTCTACACATGTATGGGGAGAACATGCTACCTCGACACATGTATGGGGAGAACACGCTAACTCCACACAAATGGTCTCAGCAAGAACTAGAACTTGGACTTCCTTGCTAACGGTGCTGCAGGAACGACTGCGCTGGATTCCACCAGAATGAGAGCAGCACTTACATTCCTCCCAGAACTCTTATGGAGCCCACGTTGTACATGAAGACAGTCTGCTGTGGGTCGGTTCTGGTCATGAAGTCTTTCATGTTGGAGGTGATGGTCCGTGACTTCCCAGTGAAGTACGGTTTATCATAGATTACCACCTAAGGAAAAGCCAGATGAGTTCAGATGTTCTAGAATGAGTGAGCAGAACACGCCCCAGTGGTTCCATTCTCCCTCACCTTGGGTTCAGCCTGGTTCTCCACTCTTGGTTCTCCCTGTCAGGACACACACCTCATCAGGACACATGATGTCACGTGAAACAGCCGAGTGTGTTTCTGCACCTTAGACCCTTACCACTTTAAGAGGATGCAGAGAGCCCACGTAAGGCTGCTCCACCCCCCAGGCTGCAGGGCTGGGGTAACCCCCCACCTCTAGGATCCGCGGGACGCCCTGGAAGAAGGGCTGAGCAAAAACCAGCCATCTGACGAGCAGAGGAGACCAGATGAGAAGACCGTCTCAGAAACGTCGCTACGGACATCTGTTCTGTGTGACTCACAGTCCAGCGTTCACGATGACGGAGTTTGCCTTGATAGGAAAACCAAAGATCCTGGCATCCTCGGAGGTGTCTCGGAACACCACCTTCTTTCCCTCTGCGTTCTCCTCTGGGAAGAGACAAATTTCTGGAACGCTGTAATCCTGAGGACAGAGATGGTGTCTCAGTGGAGAGGAACCCAGAGAGCATTTCAGGCGTTAGATCTTAAAAATGCATCATTCAGAACCATTTCAACATAAGATACGTTTAGATCACGCAGCGGCTGAGAAACATGGGGCGTTAAGCCCCGCCCCTGCCACCAGATGGTGCTGAAGAGCCACCAGGAACATCTTAACTATAAAACCCAACAAAGAAGCTGGACTAACGGATGTATGACGGTGGCGCCTATCAGAACTCTGAGATCCTGAGAACGGTTCTGGTGTTTGTACGTGTCTATAGAGACCAGAAGTGTCGTGGTGGTGGTCCACCAGGCGGCGCCCGAAGCTCAGCCGTCTCACCCTGACTGCTCGGCGTATAGATCCGATGATGAACCTCCGCTCACTCTTCTTCTCATCCCTCGGTTCTCCATTCTCCTCCTGCTGGCCGCTCTGCAGCTGCTCGAAGGGGCAGGTGAGCTCGATGTCCCCCTCGTCCAGAGCGATCTTCTCTCCCTTGAAGTCCGGTTTCTCATACAGCACCCACCTGAGGAGCAGCAGCGAGAGCAGAAGTTCAGGTCTGACGGGTCTGTGCAGACAGGAAGTGAGAGACGCCGTCTGTCATCGGCCGGCGTCGAGGATGAGTGACAGCACAGCTCATCGGCATGCTCAGGTGTTCTGCTGAAGCTGCAGTCATCTCACACCCACATGCATGGAAACGAGGCGTGGACGCGTCAGTCTGTGAATGTCACCCGAATGCCGCTGCTGGCGTGTTTGTGACGTGTGGACGGGCTGGCGTAGAACAGGGTTCTAAACCAGAACTCACCCCCCTCGGACCACCCTGATGGAGATGGTTTCCTGCAGCTCCCAGGGCGTGGCATCGATGACATCACCACGGACCTCGAACCTCTGGCCACACATCCCTGGCTGGTCGAAGATGTACATCTGTTTAAAGACAAGCAGGTCAGAGATGTGGTTCTGGTTCTGCTGGGAGCCACCGCGGTGCCGTCTGAACGCTGTTTAGAGTCAGGATGTTGGTCAGAGAAAGACGGCGGTCTGCAGGAGGACACCGAAGACCTCGCCCACCTCCTCAGCTCCTACCTGTTCCAAACAGCTAGTGGAGAACCTGAACCCGTCCCTGTTCAGACAGAACCAGAACCAGCAGGAGGAACAAGAAACGAACCCTGAGGGTTGTGGTTTTCTGAAGAGACGACACGGTTCTAATGAAAGTTGTTCTACGGAACCTGACTCAGATGCGTGGGAAAAGGCCGGTTCTACGGGTCACCACGAGGAGAACAGAGACGGAAACAAACAAAGTCTGAAGCTTCATTCAATCAGGGTCTGGGGACTTGATGAAGCTACAAAGATCTACCCTCATCAGAAGATCTAGCTGCTGCCTGGACATTTACGGTTCTCAGCCAACAAACACAACTGGTGATGGTGTCAGTGGGTCAGCAAATGAAGAAGAACCGGATCCTGCGACCACAGACCGGATCCTGCAACCACAGACCGGATCCTGCGACCACAGACCGGATCCTGCGACCACAGACCAGATCCTGCGACCACAGACCGGATCCTGCGATCACAGACCGGATCCTGCGACCACAGACCAGATCCTGCGACCACAGACCGGATCCTGCGACCACAGACCAGATCCTGCGACCACAGACCGGATCCTGCGAACACAGACCAGATCCTGTGACCACAGACCGGATCCTGCAACCACAGACCGGATCCTGCGACCACAGACCGGATCCTGCGACCACAGACCAGATCCTGCGACCACAGACCGGATCCTGCGACCACAGACCAGATCCTGCGACCACAGACCAGATCCTGCGACCACAGACCGGATCCTGCGACCACAGACCGGATCCTGCGACCACAGACCAGATCCTGCGACCACAGACCGGATCCTGCGACCACAGACCAGATCCTGCGACCACAGACCAGATCCTGCGACCACAGACCGGATCCTGCGACCACAGACCGGATCCTGCGACCACAGACCGGACCCTCCAACCCCTGAGGGATGGAGGTCCTTCTCTTTACATGAACAAAGATCTGAGGACATGGTTCCCAGATGGCTTCAGAACCTCTAGAAGCAGACATCTGCACATGAAGACAATGAGAAAGTCAAACATCCTGAACTTCCTGCTGAGCGATCCAACATGGATCAGCTGTTTGGACCCGTCTGAACCGGTGGATGACCCAATGTTCTGATGAAAGCCTCTACACCAGCGGTCTCCAACTCCTCCCTGAGGGCCGCTATCCAGCATGTTTACCGTTGTCCTGTCTGATGAGATGTGCTGGGCCGGGGAAACAGCTAAAACAGGCTGGAAACCAGCCCTCAGGGAAGGCAGCTGGGATCTGGACTCTGAGGCTGCTGGTTCTGGTGGTTCTGGTGACTCACCTTTCCGGGTCGAGGGTTCAGCTTCCCGTGCTCCTTCTCTTTAGTGAGCTGCAGAGGAAAAAACAGCATCATCAGCTTTCTGATCAAACGTGGCTCCTCCTATCCTCCGAGCTTCACCTGTACAGGTAACGATCTGCAGACGGTCCTGTGACCCTCTATCCTCACAGCTCTGAGCGGGTTCTGCTGGAAACCGGGTCGAGTTACCAACCAAACAGCCTGCTGCTGAAGCTCCGGTTTCAATCCTAGTTCCAGTGCTCAATAATCTGACCCCAGCTGGAGAACACATGGATCAGAACCCAAACACAGCCCAGCTGGACCCAGCTGGACTCAGCTGCACCCAGCTGGACCCTGGTGGACTCAGCTGGACCCAGGTGGACTCAGCTGGACCCAGGTGGACTCAGCTGG